CTTATTTAGATTAAAATTTTGTCATATTTCTTTCTTTTTCCTCAAAGATAATGATGTTTAGTCATAATTAAAGGTTTTCTGTGTAAATAAATAGTGAATATAAAAAGTTTAAAGCAGTGTTTCACATCAGGAAGCCGACGGTTCAGTTCCTTCATCGAGACAAACCTGTCAGTTTGGTTATTTCTACAGGATATCAAATTTCTTCTAAATTACAGATTTCTTTATTTTTGCAAAAGCAAACAAAGAAAATGGGGGGGTTAATTTAAGGACAGGGGAGCTGAACGATTACTGCTTCATATCCTACTTTCTCAGTGTTGAATGTTGCTCTCCAGGACTTACTGCAGACCTGTGGGGACTGAGAGGAGGAGCTGAAGCACATTTGAATGATGAATCAGCACTGGAAAGGCTCGCTGATAACTGGTTTTTATGTGATTTGCATGTTACACAAAGGTGCAACTCAGTACATATTTGCTGCGGAGCAGAGACCGTTGATGCGCCAGGGAAGACGGATGCAGACACGTCAACCTGGACAAACAAGACTCTCTCTTTATTTAGAAGTTTGATGTTCTTGTTTACATCCACGTCTTTTAACAAGTTGGATTATTCTAGTTTACATCCAGCATGCTTACAGTTTGTTCAAATAGCCTTCTGGAAGATGTCATGAATTTATGAACAATTATAGTTAGTTTCTTCTTCTCTGACATGTTTTTCCCTGGCTGCCTGAGTCCTTCCTGCTGAGAGAAAGGAAAACCTGCAGCCTGATAACCACATTTACCATGAAGGCTGGAAAAAGCTGCAACTTTAGGAGCAGCTCCTGCACCAACCCCTCCCACTGCCGCTGATCAATGGCTGCGTTGTTCTTTCTGGGGTTGGAGGGAGTCACTGGACATCCGATCTGCCTTTCACCGACTCTCTCCTCCTTTTCTCCTGTGATGGAGGTGACTGTAGCTATGCTCTGTCTGATTAAAGCTCCTCCGTTTCTCTTTATATAAAGATAAGAGATTAAAGTTTTCATAAAATTTCTCCCTCTGGTTTTTGAAAAAAACAAATGAATTAACTTTTCTGAGCTGCTTAAAAAGCTGAATTTACACCTAAACCACTCTAGACGATTAAAACGGCGGAGAAATAACAGAACAAAT